GAGTGATCGCGTTCACGTGAGTCACTGATCTGGCTGACCTTGGTTGCTGTATTTCGTGCAATCTGTTCAGGGTGATCAAATTCTGCCGTTCTTCCTCCGCTGTCGCGATCTCGCCCTCTTCACGCTGTAAGGCGATCTTGTCGGCCTTTGGTTCCAATCTTTACGTGTAAGAATTCGTGCTTCGGCCAAGATCGCAGTTGGTTCAACGCCTTCTGGCATAACAGCTGCAGACCTGGCGCCTTACAGTCGATCTCGCCTCTCATCTGGCGCACCACCAAGTTGGAGTCTCCACAGATCACGACTTGCCTCCTGGCTTGAGTCGAGAGGAAATCGAAACACAGTAGCAATCCCCTGTACTCTGCCTCGTTCACTGTCAAGTCTGGCATGTGTTCGGACATCGCTTCGAGGATCGTCCACTCGGTGAGTTTCCGGAGGATCGCGCTGTATGCGCCTCCTGCACGCTTCACTCTCGCTGAGCCATCAAAATTCGCCACCAACACGCTCTCCTCCGGTTCTACGGTTGGGGGAGCCACCAACAGGCTCTCCTCCGGTTCTACGGTTGGGGGAATCATGGCAATCATCTTCCGGGGTTGCTTCTTCGGGGCTATTGCGATTAGGTCCTCGTCAACTTCTGTTCGAGGAGTGATACTCACAGCGATCGCCCCTAGAATTTCCTCTTCGCTTTTGGAACACTTCGTAATTTCCATCGTCCAGCCAGACAACAATGCGGCCCACCTGCCCAACGTCCGTCTATCCCAATCGACTTCAGGAGCCAGGCTAGCGTGGAGAAACGCGATAGCACCTTGATCGATCTGGTGACCAACTGCGAGGAGCTGACGTCTCACATGCGAAGAAGAGCCAGGACCTCCTTATCTACGATCCCATAGTTCAACTCGTTGGCCTTCAGCGTCCGACTGGTGAAGATCACTGGCCAATACACGCCGTCCTTGTTCCTGCGTTCCTGCATTAGTGCCGCCGAGATCACCTACTTGTTAGCATAGAGGCTATGACTGGCGCCCGCCCCGGATCCAAGTGCTTCAAGATCGGGGTGGAGATGATCTTCGCTTTGAGTATGGTGAACGCATTCATTACTCGTGTCCAGCGATCGCGTTCCTCGTCCACTGGTTGCGTCCCTTCCTCCGGCTCTCCAGTCAACTGCAACCGTGCGATCTGATAGTAATCTACTTCCCAAAAGCTCACACAAGATTGCTGCGTAGACTGCAAAGTCATCGATGAAGCGCCTGTAGTAATTCAGGCTCCCAAGGAACGACTGCATCGACTTCAGCTTGGTGGGGAACGGGAGATTCGAGAAGGCTTCGAGGTCTTTCGGCTTCGCCTCCAACCCGTCTGTCCACACTTGGTGGCCCAGATAGGTCACTTTGCGCCTACGCCAGTAGCGTTTAGCTACACTGATCGACAGGTTCCAACAATCACTTACATCTAGCAGCTTTTCGGCCTTGTTACACATGCTGTCCCACGTGTCTCCAGTCACGAGAATGTCGTCGACGTACGATCGCCGTCCCAAGATCGACGGTTTGGGTTCTGGTTCTGGCTCCCCTTCCTCGAACAAATCTACTGTCTTGTCTTGGCCGGGCTTGATGCACATGTGCCCATATAGGGCGTTGTCTACGATCCGCTGGTAGATCTGCGGAGCGTTCTTCAGATCAAACGGCATCCTTGTCCACTTGAATAAACCGAATGGCGTGATGAATGCTGAGATCAGTCTCGCCCGCGGCGTCATGGACATGACCCAGAATCCACACGCCATATCGAGGGAGTAGTACCAAAGCACCTTGTCCAAGCCTTCGAGAAGATCATTGATCAACGGCATCGGGTACACCATCAACCTCGTCAAGCTGTTTACCACTTGGTAATCGATGCAGAGGCGGATATCCACGCCGTTGGCCTTGATAATGACCACTATTGGTGACGCCCAAGGTGAGGTTGATGGAGTGATGATCGTCGCAGACAGCAGTCCCTTGATGAGCATGGATAACTTCTCACGGAATTGTGGGGCTACTCTTCGGCAGCACTGGGCTACAGGTTTCGCATTTCCGACATCAATATCGCAGATCGCTTCATTGGCTGCGGGGGACATTGCGTTTCCGGATCCGATCAAGATGTGACGCTGCTTCCATATGATGCGGCGCAGCCGTTCGCACTCTTCCAGCGTTGCATCTGGATCCTCCACCCGTATATCGTCTATCGTAACTTCTCTCGTGGTGGTCTCGACATCCGTCAGTACCGCCATGTGGTTCTCGATGTCTTCAGGGAAGATGTCTCCGCCTTCGTGGTAGCCGACTGCGTCATCCATGCCGTCGTCGGCGTCTCTGTCCAGCTTCACCAGCACTTCCTCTGGTCCGATCTTCTGATCTGGTTCGCCTGCCTGGTCTCTCGGCTCGATCTTTTCCTGACCAACCCTCGTGCCTTCCGTAGTGACGTGATCTGCGTTCTCCGGTTCAGGTTTTAGTGATCTGCAACTTGCCGCCGTGGCTTCGATCGTCATCTCTACACTGGGTGATGGTTGGACTGACATCACTTTCCGCGGTTTCGGTCCCTCCTTCGAGATCTCTGTTGGTGCGTCGTACTGCGGTCTGTCGACCAATGGTTCTGCCACCACTTCGCTCGAGTCCTCTATCGGTGTTTCGTCGATGGTGGCTTGGAACGCCAGGTTCTGCCATTCTGCATATCTTCGTGATCCGACCGAGACGTATCTCGGGGTCCGCGGTACGTGATCTCCCGCCAACCAGATTCCGATACGGGTGTCGCGTTGCAGCGTTATTGGTTGATCTGACTCATTCGTGATCCGTAGGTACTGCTCCGGCCTAGTCTTCTAAACACCGTCGGGACCCATCGATCTCCGCGGGTGACCCACAATTTCTGCTTATCCGCCAGCGATTTCCGGAAAGCGATCTCCACGAATCCTGCCACTAGAACATTACCGTGTTGGTCGAACCTGATCAGTCTCGAGTTTTCGCTGAAGATCCGCCGACGCCCAGATAGCTGGATGCGTACCTCGTCTGGGAGGCACAATGACCCATCGGCCAGATCGAGACGGATGCCTACCGGGACCATGAAGTCCATCCCCAAGATCGCCTCCTGACCCGTCAAGTCACCGACCCATGCGTCGAAGTAGTATACGTATGCTCCGGCAAGCGTGATCTCGATAAGGGTACGTCCCTCTGTCATGTATGCGTTCTCTCCGATCCCAACGCACTCTTTCTCTGACTATTGTCTATAGTGCATCCCACCTTACGAGCAAAGGTAGAATCCACAATTGAGATCTCCGCGTCGGAGTCAAAGAGAAGTGTGGTCCTTTCGTTGTTGATCTTGGCTGTAGACTTAGCTTGTTTAAACCACTTGCCAGGTGCATGGTACTTCCAGAATCCTCTTGACTCCCCTGGCAGCAGATCTAATTCCATGACCACATCTGTGTGGGAGTAATCGTTCTTCCGCAAGTTCGCAAAGGTAGGCTTATTGTGCACTTCACATGTATTGTCGATCGGCTTACTAACCTCCGGTTTCTCTCGCTTCTCGACGTAAGCAAAAATACATATCTCAGAACGCTCGGCTCGTACCAGATTCCAACCTGGCGAGCGTTCTAATTTAGCATCTTGTCCGCATTCGCTGGCAACATTCCTGCGTGTTTGTTCGGGACATACTACTGGCGGATCAGATTGTAGAATTCCTCTATTGGACACTTCCCGGGGTCGTGAATCTCACCGCATGCACGACAGACGAAGAGTCAGTGGTCGGATGGGTGCCCCTTCCGCCCACACTTCTGGCACGTCAGTCGCTTCCAACATCCCAGATTGTCGTGTTTTGTAGACCCCCAGTGGGTACAGTTCTTCTGCGACATTGTGGTATGGTCGACGCGGTTGTCCTGGTGTGCCAGCGTAGGTGTTTGGATTCCTCGCTCTTTCGATTCTGCGAGGTACACCCGGCGACATTCGGCTTCTTGCTCCGATCCGCTTGCATCGGATTCCGACTCACTGCTGTCTTCGGCCTTCTGGATCACTGGCACGGATCGCGCATTCTTCGCCGGTACGGACTGGTTTTCGGGCGTCGACGTCTGGCGGAATTTATTTGATCCCACATGCGCTTTGCCCTGGCGGGCTTTCGCACGCTGGCGGGCTCACAAGGTTTTATCCAGATCTTCCGCATCCTTCACCCGAAGCAGCGTCCATTGATCGGCCAGATAGCGTTCATCCAGCGTTTTGATGAAATATTCGCGTGGAGTGACCGCCGGGCCATCCTTGATCTGCAGGCTTGTTAGCATACCGGTCACATTGAGTCGGTGGAGGTACTCGATGGGTGACTCGTCCGATCGTTTCTTCGCATGGTAGTACTTCCTCGCGACAGATATTCCTCTCCCGCAGTATTGCGTCTGGAAAGCCTCCAACAAGTTTTTCCAATTGCCTCGTGTTGATCGGCTTAGCTGTCGATACCAGTTGCGCGCTGGACCGGTGAGCAGATAGCCCAGCACCAAGCACTTCTCGCTGTCTGGAGCTTGATCTCGGACAAACGCAGACTTCACCTTGCCCAACCAGCTTCTCGCACGATCTCGTCCTGGTCTTTACCAGAGGACTCTTTCAGTTCCAAGATCGCGGATACTCGGATCCGGGGCGTCATCGTCGAGGAAGTGGATGTCGGTCCTGCGACTGCTCCTGCGGATGCGACTACTGCTTGTCGTGGTGTATCGATGCTCAGGTTATCTGGATCGTATTCGCCGTGTGAGTCGTGATATGACTCGACGGACTCCATCTCCACGTCTTGGTCATTCTGGTCGGTCCGCCTGTCGTCGGCTTCGATCCTCCCGTTTGTTTCTCCTTGAGGTATCGATTCATCGCCGCGTTGAAGAATGTTTGCATCTACTCAGGGCTTCGTGCTGGCATTACGACCGGTGTCGACTCGCGTGAAGATCGTTCCAACTTGGCGTTAGCCTGGCGTTCCTGCAGCATCGCTGCTCCTGACGGGCCAAGCGTCATATGCTCCAGATCGACCGAACTGTCTGATCCGTCTTCGGACGTAGCCGATGCGTATTGTGACGACCCTGGTTGGTATTCCGGGCTGCGGACTGGTGTCTGCTTGATCGTCTCCGGCAATGCGACTAATCCAACTAGTGGCTCCAGCTTGTTGTATAGCAACGTCACTGAGATGTGGATCACCGTCGTAACAACTCACTCGCGCTGAGCGCCCCTGGCATGATTTTAGCGTCTTTCAGTGTGTGAAGGAGCTGTGTTGCGGTCTCCAACTGTCGAGACGTCTCCGTTGGTGCCGTCGTAGGACCGCGCAGCTCTCCGATCAACGTCGGGCGAAGATCTTCATCACCGGATCCTCAAGTAAGAACGCGAAGAGGTCTTTCTTGTGGAAGATCTGCGCCAGTTCTTCCTCGGGCCACGTCCGTTCGTCACGATCTTCCGCGTCCGAGTCTGGAGCCTTCGATTACTTCTTTCCCGATTTCGGCTTCTTCTTTCAACCGACCCTTGCGGTCGGCGGGGTATTTGTGGATGAAGTTCTATCGGCTAGCGCCGTCCGAGCTTCATCCAGCATATCGCGACTCTCGTCACAATCCGCGGGGGCTCCCGAAGGAGCATGGGGATGAGTGTGAGGTTTCTCTTCCAGGTCCATGTCAAGATCTTCCTCCTTGGTATCGTCCGAGTTCCTCCCAACACTCAGACTTTGCGTGTATCCTACTTCACTCAGCAGAGTCTTCGGCAATACACCATCCGCTGACGCCTCAATCCCAGGTTCCAACTTGATCTTGGTGGCATCTTCATCGGGCCCACGGTGAAATCCCTGCGAGTCGACAGAAGTTCCGGGCACGCGCACCATTGTGGCGAAGTGGCCTTGCAGAAATTGCTGACTACCGCTGCCCAGCTCGCTACAGTGCCTCGGACGACCGAATAACGGAGGGGTACTCCGAATGTCCGCTGACGCTGAGGTTCATCTCACCTTGTGTACCCTATCGGTGGCGAGGGGTTGCACTCTTCCGGTGACTCGAGGATGCCTTGGTTGTCGGTCTTGGGGACCGTATGGACGGTACTTGGGATTGTTGACAGCCGCGTGGTTACTTCTTCACGCGGCGTCGGATGTGGGTGTAGATCAGGTAATCGATCTACGTGTCATTGTGTGTGTCGTTTTCCTTTTCTTGCTTGCCGCTTCCGATAGCGGGACCTTCAGGGGGGTGTGGGTGTAGATCAGGTAATCGATCTACGTGTCATTGTGTGTGTTGTTTTCCTTTCCGTTGCTTGCCGCTTCCGATAGCTGGATATTCAGGGGGGGTTGGTGATAGCTCCATAGCCAAGCGATCTAGGGGCTCTCGGTGTCTTCCCCTCGTGTGCGCTGGTGTCTCCTTGGTCGTCAGGAGGTCAATGTACGTTTCCTGCCTGGTATGGAGTGCCACGTGGCTTAAGAAGAGAAGGAGTCCAATGTGAGGGGTCCAAAGAATATTTTGAAGTCTGCCTATCTCTCTAGCCTATCCGCACAGCCACTCATTCCTATCGTACCTACGTGTGCCGCAATCACAGCGTCCTTGTACCCATATCAGCCACACTCGTCTTGTACCAGAAACTGGGTGCCTTCCTTGGCGATCCTCGACTTGCGATCTTCGATCTGTGATCCTTGACCTGTGATCCCCAATCTGTGACCCTCGATCTATGTTTTCTGCTCTTCGATCTTCAACCTTCGATCTTTGATCTAGATCTCCTCCTCGATCCTTTAATCTTCGATCTTCGATCCTCGGTCTAGATCGAAACTGGTAGATCGAGGCTGGTACCGGCTGGTCGGCTTCGTGTATTTCACACCAGATTGACTCGTCATGGGACATGCTGCAGTAGATTCCTTAAGGCACGTCCCAGACCTCAGTCTCAGTCGTCGATCCAGACCTATCAATCGCAATTTCCTTAATCTCGCTTCACCACAGTTTTCCAGCATCACAAGGCGAAAGCATATCCGCAGAAAAAGATCACTATCCGACCTTACATGACGCTGAAATGGATGAACTTCTTAACCTATACTGGGAGGAAGTAATTCAAGGAGAGGTTTACCTGTGTCGTGTTGGGAATCCACGATTGACTATCACTCCGTTCCCTCACTCCAACAATTGTTGACTCCAAGAGCCAACGAAAACGGCATCGAATATATCTCGATAGTCCCCGAGTCGATCCCTTCCAGGCTAGCGTTGACTCAATTCCAATTGTGATTCGCCACTGTAGGTCAACTCAAATATCAGACGTCCTTGGCCACGAGCAGACCAATACGCCTTTACTCACACACGTGAACTCTGCCACTCCTTCAGTAGGGAAGGTACGTTGACTTTTCAGCTATAGCAGAGCTGCCCGGAAGTTGCACCTACCAGAAGATTCACTCGGATAATGCTTCAAGACTGACGGATATTCGCCAGCTATCAGTCAGATCAACCACACACAAACGCTCTTGGATTGACCTTGGCAGGCGAACCGGAGTATTAATCTAGTTCACCAACAGACCTATATGCCACGCAAAGCGGCCTGTCCCTCTTGGACTTACCCAAAAGATGTCTTAACTTCAGATACAAATTTTGTTCTGTTCTTCGCCCTACTGGTGTTAATTTTCATCCTAATTCCTACTATGTAAGTATACAAATATCAAGTATAAATGGGACCTAGCTACGAGATCTAATAACGGTCAACGACTACTCGACCAATCACTTGTCGAAACTCCCACTAAGTGCGGATCTCGGCCGGGTGTTTCTGCGGATATGTCGTGTACTTCACACCACTCCCGAATAGTGACCAATGGTCTCTATCGGTGGCCATGTCATTCTTTGATGGGCCGACGAGGACTCGTCATGAGTTGTAGTCGACTAAGTTCCGAATTGTGTGAGCCACTTATCGGGGACGGGACTTAACGGTAGTATCCGAAAGTTCCCGCCTTCGTCATCTTTCATCTCAACTGAGAATCGCAACACCACAACTGCCTCCGCCACCACACGAACCGCTTGCTGGTAAGTGTTGAGGCGCTTCATGGTTGACCTCCTTGACCAGGCTCTGCGCATGGCACACCAAGCTCTGTCTGATTCTGAACCTTCACCTCGATCGGTAAGTATTCGTCACTACGTGTATCCTCATCATATCTTGCCGTTGAATCGGTGACTCGTCGCTTGCTTTGTTCTGCTGTAGTCACCGAATTTGTCGACCGTTACATGATCACCGCGCGCTTCTCCTGTTGCTGCAATCTCCTCTCCAGCCTCTCCTGCAGTTGAATCCAAGGTTATCGTCTTGACTTCAACCGACAGTCAGGTGAGTTTGTCCATGCATTCACTTCACTTTCCTTGCACTGACACACGACGTTCTTCTGCCTCAGCAGGATGCTTCACCAGCAAACTCGCCTGCTCCTGACTTTGTTCCGGCAACTCCTCGAAGGGAACCCTCGGCGACTACAACTCACGCCGTTCCTGATTTGCACATTCATGGAAGCTCGTCTGGCTGAGATGTTGGAATCGCAGTGCCAGAAGACATTGAACCTATAGTGGGCCTAGGGTTTACTAGTTAGCTTACATGTGTGCGCACGTGTATTAGGAAGCGAAGGTGTTCCTAGCTTGTATAGCGTAGACACGATGCGTGTGTACGCTACTAATAGGATCCCTTCAAATGCAGTCTTGATGTGCAAACACAGCAAGACGGGTAACCCTAACCTATCTGCGTTACGGTTAGAGTTTCGTGTAATCCCCTTACACCACCCCCGT